TGAAACAGTTTAATTAGTGATATGTCGATCGGTTCTTATTTCCATTTCAACAATAGTGCTGTTTTCAAATCATCTACTAGTTCTATGGAAGAGAATTTTCTCGCTATCCTGTGGTAATTGCATATTTATGTAATGTGACATTTAACTACAAAAATGCTGTGCTGTGAGCTTGGCTCATGGTTATTCATGCTAATCATGGCTATTACATCAAAGCAACAAAAATCCGGTTACTGTATTTGCACGAGTAAAAGCGTATGTTGACATAAGAGCACGTAAACAAAAAAATGCATTTACTGCGATGCTGAATTGTTAAAATATGACTTATTTTTTTTACCACAGGCACACTTGTGCATTAAAGCAAATCATCATTATCATTAAAGCAAATACGGCGAATAAATGAAAAAAAACAACAACAACCATAAACTACAATTCAGAACGACAAATTATTTAATATTTGTTAAAATACCAAAAACTGTAATGTATATTCTGAAAAATTAGTCTGACACTAAACTAGTCCATCGTAAATACTCTCATCATTGACATACACATGACAGTCACATGTTATACACATGACAGTCACATGTTATACACATGACAGTCACGAGTTATACACATGATATAAAACATATTAAATAGTCAATTATTAATTAAACTAGAAGTAAACAGACTTTGAACTGTTTTTAATGTCAAACTAAACATTTTTTCCAGTTCCTTTTGTGTTTGTTTTTACAATGCATGAAATGGAGACAGCAGCGAACAAGTAAAATGCGATTATACCCGCTACATATATAATTATAACTCTTGTACCAAACTGTATGAAATCGTCTGTTTTCTTCAAATGTTTATTAGGAGTGTTAAGTGCCAGTTCAAGTGTAGGCCACGGCCACCGGAATTGACTCTGATACCTGTTTTTAGACCTGGATTCAGTCCAGATCATAATAATGATTAGGGCTTCAATTAGAGCTTTTTGAAACCAATACCTATCAAATGCAAACTAAGAACCCCGATATAATGCACTTCTGATATAATTTAAAACAGAGCCAACAAGCGATTGATTATGTACAACCCATGTGCTATTTTTGATTCAGTATTCTCATTGTCCGTCTGCACGGTGTTGTTCCGTTCGAAGATTTCTCCCTGAACTGCTTTGCCGGAAAATTCACCTTGAAAATGCCAGATAAATACAAATCACATTTAAGTATACATGTCTATATTTGTATGTCACTCTAATGCACTATGACTAAAATTGCACGGACTGAATATGTAGTGATTATAATCCCACATACAGACAGAAAAAACTAACATGGATACCACACAAACAAATGACTGCCAGTTAACTACTTTTTTCGAATCTAAATAAGTATGACGTGCACAAAAAACCCTGCATACATGGTCCTGGTCTGTGAAATGTGTTTTTTTTCAGAGGCATTCGCCCTTTTTACCTCTGAAAAGCAGTACCGGACACGATTAAGTATTCGAATTTAGCAATATTCCATATAAACACTGCATTTTGAGAATGTAAAATATCTATGAACATACCCCCCCCCCCAAATACTTCATGTGTAAAGAAGTGTACTGTTAAATTGTTCTGGAAGGGGGAGGGTCCATGGATATCTATGTTGGAAATTGTCTTTAAGGTAGGACGCTACATATAAGTAAAATATTGTAATTTTCTTCATCATAATTGATATATCATGTTATCAACTATTAAAAAATAGATTGAAAATGTGGGTTCTTGTACTAGGGTCAGCTCGGAAATCGGGAAATGTTTTGTTTTAGGACTGATTGGCATTCAACCAAAAAACATTCTATTGACTAATGCTAAAACGATCGTATGTAAACAGATTTCGTCACTGTTATATGCACTAAAATATGCGTACATGTTAAAAAGAAAAGTCAGCATCAGAGTAGCATTCTACCTAAAGATCCCCATTTTTGGGTATTTTCCTATGGTAATGTCCAAGTCTAGTTTAATAGTACTGGGAAGCAGAAATTGGGGTTAATGCAATTCCTGAATTTTGAGTCAAGTTTTATTTACCTTCAGCTGCCGTTGGGGAATCATCACTATCATCTGTTTCATTACCAACATTTCTAAGTACCCTGTGTAACCAAAAGTGTTCAAAATCCAAAGTTTCATCATCATCGCCATCATCTTGATCAGCATCATCATCATCAGCACATCCTTTACTTATTTGCTGTAGTATAACTGGACACATTTCAACCATTTTGTGCCGGTCAATGTCAATGTCACTGTCCATGTTATGAATCTGTAGAATCTCTTCTGATGTGTAGCACTGTAAGGTAACCATGATATAAGTCATCGCATTATGTTTTAGTCGATACGGATCTCATATGAAATATACAACAAGTGTAAATTGCCGTGTTACATGAGTGCTGCAGGGTGAAAAGAATATATGAAAATACAAATGTGTTTGTTATTTATTACATGTTTTAGCGCTGACATGTTTTTGAAATATTTCTGCCAAATGTCAAAACAAACAGGTCAATATGTGTATACCAAAGTACATCAATACATATAGTTGCAATAAGTCTGAAATATGAAATGTATTCATGTGCGTGGGACTTACTAGAGTATGGTGCAGACAGTGTTATATCGAATATATCAAAAATATGCATTTATATATTGGGAGAAAGCATAATTCTGGTTCAGTTTAACAGAGACATTTAACATGAGCTCCAGTGCTTAAATATTTATAATGCGAAAAATTAATAATTAACCACCATTGGCCATTCATGCGATCCCCTCTGCGTGGATTCCATAACGTCTTCCATATTCTGTAAGCTCCAAAACGATGGGTCATTGCCGTCGTGACGGAGTTCTATTTGCCGTGAATGATCGACTGATGGTGACGCAAATTCGTGATTTCGGTCAAAATCATCAACACCTGCTACTTGAGCAAGGTTGATACGAGAATCCACGCTGCCACGTTCGGTCAATTTCTCTAATAAATGCTGTAATTGTTCAACTGACAGTGTGCCACCGCTACCGTATTCGTTGATGAGATCGTCCAAAAACTCGTCTGGCGATGGAAAACAGGATTTTAGCTCCAAAGTGTTCTCTTCAAGTTCAAGGGTTAGTGATGTTGCCACCCACAGGATTAGAGACATATAGAGAACGCCAATACAACACATGGCAGCATTTGTGGGGTTCATAGCTCCGTACAAGCACCAAGGAATCTTTTACAAGAGTAGCAAAAACTTACAAAAAAGGTCTGTATAAATCCACGTTTTCATATCACCGACATCTTTTGTTTATGCCTAAAGTATGCACTTTGACCTCCGTGGTACCATTTGACGAACCAATGATTGGGGTTCACCACTTGAGTTGACCACGCCCATCACAGTGATAACCAATACAGCCTGTGTTCGACAGTTGACAGCGTATGTAGACGTGTTGTTATCGCTATCGAACAGGATGAATGTGATAACACAATGATTAATCATTCACGTAAAGTACTTTTGAACCCTAATTGATGACATACCCTAAGTGAGTATGGTGCAGACAGTGTTATATCAAATATATCCAAAATATAGATTGATATATTTGGGTGAAAAATATTTCTGGTAATTTGTTTTGACGCTCGCGTGTGGCTTTTTATTATTGTTCTACCCTATTTTACCAAGTTGTACGTATAACCTTCTTGCTTCACAGACAGAAATTACAAAATATATAGGCAAAACAAAAATTTTCAGGTTATTTTTTTTAAATCTACTCATCGTGGCTTGATTTTATGATTTGTTTGTTTTCGGAAAATTGAATGTGATGGTATTTCATTATTATTTATTCATTATGCAATACCAAGAAATTAATATTCATTATTCCGGTCTCAAAATGCGACGCATTTGAACATGGAATCCTATCGTAAAGTGAAACAAAATTAAAAAAGCAGGCCTCCTGTATTATGTTAGATGCTAAAATGCGACATGTAATTTTATCATGAGCACATCATAGCTTCTTAAGGGTTAAATCGGCATATTTTCTAAAATGTGCGACAAGGCGATAGCTAAAGAGGCGGCACTTCAGTTTACCACGCCCATTACAGCGATAACCAATGACGTGCAACAAACTGTCCCTGTGATATCGCTATCGCATCAGGACACCATGGCTGGGGGTAAAGTCTGTTTGAACCCTATTGTTTTTGTTTAGGTCGTGGTTATTGGTATGCCCGTGCCAATAACCAACGATGGCCCATTGACCCGCCGCGTAGCAATAGTCCAAGTCGAAAGGGCTGGAAACCATAAAATGCTTGATTGACACAATTTCACAATCAAAGCGTTTTAAGGTTGTTATTTAGGGTCAAAATATGTTAGGATTTTTGGTTAAAAAAATAGGGTGAGAATTATGTGTGTTTTTTCAACGTTTAAAAGCGAAGACAACATAATGTCCCTAGATGAAGGAGCTCCATAAATGTAGAATGCAATTTACATTTCCTCAATGTTTCTCAAAAAAAGCTACGATCGTCATCTTTTACCCACAATCCTTGGCTGGAGAATCAATCAAGATGGACTCCATCATACTGATGAAAACTTGAAAATCTAGAGAATGAAACATGATATAGTCTCCTACATTTGTGAAGCGCTTTCACTCGGAAGTATTATTCTGTTTGTCTGGTATTCTCATTTAAGCTTTTAATTGACCAATTACATTCAAACTTGGAATATATACTCAATATTATTAGTCACAGCTTCCAGGATATAGTTTTGCACTTCAAGTACATTTCAGGGATATTTTGAATGCCAAATTTGTAACTGTTCCCAGTTGATTCACACATTACTATGACAGCTATGACATGTTATGTTACCTGAGGCCAAACTTTCGCGAGCGCCACGTACCGCAAAATAGTAATACCTATGTTATTCCTTTTCTAAGTCATGTATCAAATGTGTATGGCAGTGAATGTTGTATTACACAGAATACGAGATCTATTTGGGATATGTACTATAGATCTCCTATAGGAGATCGCATTGTTTATGGTTTACGTGTGTGCGTCTGCCGAGTGACGCTGGCATTCGAAAATAAAGTACCGCTAATGGCGTTGTTTGCTACTTTTGTTATTAAAAATACATCTGTGTATCCCTGCTAGTAAAACACTAAAGCGGGAGGGTTGTCACCTGCGCACGCGCGAGTCCCAAGTGACGATAACAACACACTCTAAAAACGCAAAGTCTCATGAGCAGACGCTTGTTTGTAAACAATGACATGCTATGGTCATCTGACGCATGCGCTTTAACTTATAGACAACGTTGTCACAGCTGAGGGCGAGCTAGTGCTGATATGCTGGTTGGCAACTATTGATTTCACAGTGAAATACAGTAGCATATCCTATTTTTTCTTAATGGAAATCAAAATCATTACACTGTCTAGTAACAGTATATACTATATGTGGTTACAGTGGCGGATTGTCAAGTTTTGAAATTGCTTTAATAATCACCACAAGTTTCTATAATACAGAAACGATGTGGATTTCTTGAATCTCTTTTAAAAAAGAGATTGTGTTTGACTTTTGCCATGATTAAAATTGTAATTTCAGAATATTTCTTTTTTTTGCGCCTGAAAAGGACGAATGTGAACGTTTTGGATGGCAATATTACGTTGGACAATTCGAATTTGAAGATATACGACATCTCATAGGCAAGATTATTAAAATACTAGTAAGTAGGAGGATTCATTTACAGGTGAAATGTACAAGGACAATTTTCAGATGAATTGAAATTTGTTCACAGGCACCGTTACCGGAATAAATTGTCGAAGGCCTACATGACCACGTACATATAGATATCGAGAAAACGACCACTACTTGTATAACTGATTTATAAAATGACAATTTTTATAAAAGACAGATTTTCTGATACAAAATGATAGAAGCGACCGATTGGAAGTGACAATGCCAACGAAATGTTTGTGTGGCATAACAAATAATTCAATAATCCATGTAGTCCATGCTGATATCATTTCACACACACATATACAACTTACAAGTTCATTGATGTGTATTACCATATACTGTATCTCGTACATTGAGTAAAGCAATAAAGCATTTGTTAAGACTGGTCTTGTATTACTGCAATGTGTCCTCTATATATGCAGATATGGACTCAAGTTTGTTGTCAACATTGACAATGGTAATATTATATTATACAATGTGGGTTGCCTCCGAGGCTCTTCTAACGGTCTGCAAATTTACCTCTGTAGATGACAGTGATATTGACTGGCAGATAAATACATCACACTGCTAATCTGAATGTTAATTTTCCAAATAATGTATAGTTATAAGTATTCTCCCTCCTCATGTGCTACATCCGTTGATAGTTGCCACAATGACGAAAGTGTGACTACATTTCTTCATGAAATTTAAAAGGTTAGGAGCAGTATCTTAGCAGAAATTTCAGACTACTTTAAAAAGAAGATATCAGTCTACGTGTGGCACTACTTGCACCAATTTTAGTTTGGTCACCAAGATCTGATTGAATATATGCTATATGTCTATAAGTGCGCCGTCTAGTGATGAATCATTTCTATAGCGTAAATGGGCGACAACAAAGCCACTAGACTGTCGACAGTCCTCGGGCCTAATGTAATTATGTTACTGAGACATTCGAAATTCGAAGGCGTTTGATTAGAAATGCGAACCATTTCACGCGAGGGACCTTAGTTTCTAGTTGATATGAATAATTCATAGTTGATGCAGACGTAACGAAATAAATATATTAACATAATGCATGCAAATTTATTCTAAATGACCCCTGAATGCGATGGTTGTTCACGTCAAGATTTGTTTGTGACATGATATCAAAACTGCTGTGGAAAGTGTCGCGATCGCGTACAGTCAAAACAAACTTCGCGTAAGTCGTGGGCGATCCTAGTAGCCGGCGACCCCTGACCTTTTTCACGATTGGCCACGATAAAAAGATATACATTTGCATATGAAAGTACCCGGATCTGGTACGAAATCTTACCAGTGAATTGCAGCACCGGACAGTCGGTCATGCCTAACAGCATTCCATACTTCCTATTCCGGCGTTCGCAATTTATTCACGCCTATTACGTTTATACACAATATTTATTAATAATAACAGATTAATATTAGGTACGACCGACTGGCGGCAGTCTACAAAGCCACAAGTGACCGGTTTTTACCTTGCCCGTACCATGGATGTACTCTGGTGACCTTGCCCTTTGTTATATAATATAATTCCCTTTATCATAGTTTGTTTCAATATAAATATGCATTGTCATAATTAATTTTGAATACAAACAAGTTTTGGGGGTTGAACCAACAGTGGGGAATCAGTCTACCGAATGTCCTTAAAAGATGTAAATATCTTACAAAAACATTGGTGCCTTATTTGTTTATTTTAAGGGACATAATTTCCAGCTTTCTTCAAAGTAATTCAGATATTTTAGTATAAAAACAAATGTCTCATTGAAAAAAAAAGTGCTGCATTTAGATGTGAATAGATTCATAAAACATGCAAGATAACAGAAAATTTTAGCTGGCTTTAGTCCAAGTATTTTGTACAGGTGTCTGTCAAAAATTAATGATTCACTGAGACAAATATGAACTGCCTCATTGTGTGACTACTGTATTATATGAAAAGTAAAAAAAAACACCCTTTATGAATAGCTATCATGTTGCAAGCTCTGCTTTGTATGCAAATCAACTTAAATAGTTAGTTGGTGTCCAGTGGAGGGAGAAGTCAACAGTACTGGTGCCTCCTGAGAATCTACATCTTCAAACACTGCAATCTTTGAAGTGCGTTTTTAAACTAGTATTATAAAAACTCTATCATTCTGTTCTAATAGCTGAAACATATTCCTGTGAGTTTTCATTTGTCGAATTTTTGCATGATATTTTCATACAGGACATCTGTTGTTCAAACTCGGGGAAGACTTTATACTGATGAATAAGGTGACCAAGTTTGATAAAGTTTGGAATAGAATTAGTAAAGTTATTATGCACACAATAACAATTATTAACGACGACAACAACAACAACAACAACGACAACGGACAAAATTTTTCCCTTAATATACCTTTCCCTTCCATCTTTGATGGTACGGGCAAGGTAAAAACTGACACGGTGGTGTTAGAGATAGCAGCAAATAACTGCATTGATCTAATTCGCATCATTTTGGGAAGGCGTGGTAATAGTCGCCTTTCAGGTTATGCCTGAATGGGGACTAAAAAGCATGCTGCAACAAAGTTTTTATTGACACCAACTTTATTTGCACAGATCTTCATTACAAATTGGTATTTAAATTCTATGAAGTTCACTGTATGACAAAAAAAAACATTAACTCAACTAAACCAATGTATAAAACTTATAACAAAAGTAACGTCACCCAGAAAGTCTTAAAATTTGTTTTTCTCATTAAAACTGAGAAAAAAGAAAACAGTAAATTGTACTGTTGTAACTAATTGTAATTATGTTACCATACTATAATTAAATTATAGCCAGATTAAATTTTGTCACAAAAAAATAATCTCTTCGCTACTTTCATTCCATACAAAAATCAAAATCAACCACTACTTATATTAAACACTAAAATTTTAAAGTTACAGGGATTGACTAACCAAAACCAACACTTATTATACTAGTGAACAGGTTTACTCATTAGTCAAGTTCTTAACATATTATTGTATCTCGTATCCATTCAACATCAAAAACAGATTATATTTTGAGAAAATCAGTGATAATGAAAAAATGCAGGATGAAAATGTAGAGAGGCCTATTATGAATTATTAAGTATATAGTAAAGCATTAAAAGCGCAACCTCTTTAAGAATGTGAAGGGCAGTGCACAACAGGGTAAAGGCAAGTATAAATGTAGCATTTACAAAATATATATACAGTAAACTTCACTGAGTTTGACCTGAGTTGGGCTTTAGTTTATCAACTTAGACAACTTATTATAATTGTCATTATTTAAAAAAATAAACTTGACTGTAAAGGCAGCCATATTTCTTTTCAATATATAAAAGTAAACTCCACTGAGTTTGACAATGTCTTCAAAATAAGGGACATCGTAAAAAACACTTTAAGTTAAAATAATAGGGTTATAAATAGCTTCATTAATATGTACACTGTAATCTCACTTCAAGAATGACATTGTACAATAAAATTAAATTTGTTCGACTTATTTTACTATTTATTGCAGAGTCAAATAGGGGGAAAAACACTTCCCGGCACATTTAATATAAATATATGGAATGTGCAGTATGAATTAAATATTGATCAAAAAACTGACCAGAAGTGTAAATGTTACAGTAAATTGCACTGAATTTGACTGATGAGCTGACATGACATGAAATATCTTATAACTTATAAGCTTATAACTATTTAGCAGTTATCCAAACCAGTTGACTCATGGATAATGAGTTTCCAAACACTGACCAAACTTCACCAGTAATTGCAGAAGATAAAATTGACTTATTGGACAATATATTGTACGCAGATCCCTTAGCTGAAATCCCAGACTTTATAAATTGTAATTTCTTTTATAATAAAGTTATATTTGATTATATTGGCAGATAGTGTATCATAATACTGAATCTACACATTAAACTAGGAAAGTTATAATTACTTAAAACAGTCTGTTTACGTAAATGTGTAGAAGAATGAACAAAAAAAAAAGTGTCTTACTGCAAACAAATAGTTGTTGCAAATAGTTCAGCTCTGAAGCTTGTCATCTATATCAAATTTGCTCTATTAGTATTATCTGAAATTTCGTGAATGACAGAGGTGTGTCTATGGTCATATTATAATGATCGAATATATAATAAATGTAATTTTTGGAGATGTGCTTCTAATAGAGCAAATATGGTATCTGTATTTGCAATTTAAAGTTGAAAGGCACCAAGGTGAGATGTAATGTTATGGAAGAAAATGCGTTTCATTTCCATATGTTGTTCAAAATAGTTATGATATAACCATTAACCTATTTGTATATTTGCTTCAACCAAAGCAAGTATTATCATGGTTGCCCAGCCAAGAAGAAGACCACAATTTTGAATAACAAATATCTTGGCTTGTTTACTGTCAGAAATATTCTCCTCGTCTTCCTCCACTGAATTGATCTCCGGCAACTGCAAATACAATAAATAAATTACGTTGTATGGTGTGTCCATGTGTTTGTGTGATGGCGAGATACTCAAACATGAATACCAAAGAATGAGAAT